GGAATGAAATTTATTTGAAGGATTGTGGCATCGCAAGACTCGACAGAGTCCAGAACACGACAAAGGCAGATACTCACAGGTGTGTCCGCTCATTCTGAAAGCAGAAAATCTGCAATTGCGATGGCAATGAAAACGTAAATGTAAATGCAATGATATTGATTTGGGACGGATTCGTGAGTAGAACACTCTTCTCAAAACCAAGGAGAATGCAGCCCAAGGGCAAACCGCTTTCCAGACACCTCCATTGCATGAAAGTCTTGTCACTGTAGCAGATTTTTGGAGTCTGTCCGTTTGGCCGTGGGCCGAGACTACTCGAAACGCCTTTTGGAAAGCTTTTCCGGGTCACCGGAAATTAAAGCTGGATTTAAAACTGAATCATCGAACGAACGGGTTCTTTCCTCCGTCCTGATTATACCAGTACTTAGTCGGTCTGATTAAGTGTCGTGAGTCCGAACTCTCATGGGTCTTAACAGCTGGAGTAGCAGTTACATCTGAATGCACTGCTTTCGTTTTTGACATTCTGTTCTTGACTGAATGCCTCAACAAATTCGTTCACAGGAATGCAGTATGAGCTGCCCATATTCTTCCCTTGAATTTATCACCAATAATAATTTTCCTCACGGACAAGTACTAAGGGCGGTCAGAAGTTTTATGAATTGCACACATTCGTTTCGCATTGCGGAAAATTCGAGTCAGGTTACCAGTTCGAAGTGATCTGTCCATGCTCTTTCCAGTTATTCGACATCACTGGCGGCTCGAATGCAGTCGAAAGGAATTTAAGACTACAAAAATTGGCGTGGCTATGGTTCATTTATCATGAACCTGCTGAAACCTTAGTTGACAAAGTGGTCCGAAGTAATTAATTTAGATTTATTCTGTTTGTCTTCACGAAGACGCGATTTTTTTCTGTCCTTGGAAATTCTTAAATGTCCAACGATCATCTCCAAACAACGTATTCCAGAAGAATGAACCAACGCTCAGTGATCGAAAACGTGATGTGCCGACAGATAAAATTTACCGTTTTCCAGACAGTCGGTCATGTGTGGCACATTTCATGCGATCACCTCATTTCTCGCTTTCCAACAAGTACGTCAATTGACCGTACCGATGACAGATTTGCCTTCTGGCCTCGAAAGTGGTCGACGCAAACAGCGGTGTACTACTGCACTGAATGTAGTTATTCTAATGAATAATCGTTCATGTAATTAGCGATTCAAGAATGAATCATCGGATTGCATGCGGTGATGGCTGTCGCCTTCCATTTCAAACAATTACACTTTTATAGCCTTTGAAATTAAGCCTTGGCAAACACCCTGATATACCATTGCTTTAAGGTGGTTGTCATGTTAGGATCAACCTGAATTTTGGGCAGTAGCCAGCGAGGGTCTTTATGTTTTCAGTTCTTTCAGCTACCACCGAACATCCCTTTCTGGATCTTTCAATGAACAATTCAGAACAGCCTCATCGACGCCATTTCTCAGCATTCATCTTGGTAGTGTGAGGACAAGTTAAATGTTCGCTTCACGGATGATCCTCCATGTTTACTTGTTTCTATAGACTTAGCAAATGACAGGCAAATAATTAAATATCAGAACAGAAAGTCTGTTAGTTTTTCGTAGCCCCACTGTGTACCTATGCTTGCCTAAATAATTAAGTATGATGAAAGACGTACTCAGACAGTTTCTACACAAAGACTTTTTTATCTGTTCGATGAAAGATATGAAGAGCTCGAGCGATGAGTGAAATAATACATCGATCCTCACTGACCTTATTTCATTATCTTTATTTAAAACGCCACTTGCTATCTGCAGGTTTATTATGATAATGAGATTTCATGTTAAAAACTGTAACAAAGAGTGCTTCAGATCAAATAGAATTATTTTTCCAAAACTGATCGAACCACTGCAAATGTCAGTTACTGCTAAAGCAATACTGTTTTTGCTGCCCCAGATGTACGAGAGACTACTCGAAAGGTGTCATGAAAGCAGCTGGAAATCCGCACTGGTTAAACGTAAGTGATTAAGGGTAGGATTCAGGTACTGATAGATCGTCTTAGAAAAACGGTTCGTTCACAACGGGTTGGATGGGACTTGGATGCGACAGAAAATTTTTGGGAGATGATGCAAACATGGAATTAAAATTTCAAGTCATAAGATAATAATTCCCTTAGCCAAGATTCTATTTATGCAAAACTGCTAGATTGGTCGCCTTAAACATGAACGATTGTTCTGGCCACCTCTAACAACTGTTA